TGTCTGAGGGCCATCTTTTTTTTTTTTTTTTTATCTCAGTCTAACTTGTTTATTTTTACTTGTTTTTCTCTTTGCTTCACATTTCCAAATTTTGCCAGAATGTTCTCCTTTCTCACACTGTGAGAGTCATGTTCTTTTATTTCTCCAGGCCATTTAAACATAACTCAGCCTGATTTGCTCAGTCAGAAACTCCACAAGACACAGGTGGAGGTCTCAGTAATCACAGGATATTAATCCTACGATTACTGATGTGCAAGGGCAAAAAATCTGCTAAAGTGATGACTCCAGTGTCACTTGGAGTTCTAGGAAACAACTGTTTTGTAGGCTACAAGCTAAAACGTGTTGGTCTCGCAATAAAGTTGTTTCCTAGAACTTCAGGTGTTGCTGAAGTCTTCACCTTATCTGACAAACAGACCACAGTTTATAAGACTAAAGGCCTGTGTGTCTAACAAGGTGGTTAGCAACAAAGGAGCATGACAGGGCACTGTACTCTCACCATTCCATTTCACTCTCTACACTTCAGACTTCCAGCACAAGTCTGACTTTTGTCATCTCCACAAATCCTCAGATGACTCTTTAGTTGTCGGTGTATCAGAGATGAACAAGAGTCTGAGTACAGAGAGTTGGTGGGCTGCTTTGTGTCCACCAGCTCTCTGTGGGAACAATCATCTCATCTTAAATGTGAACAAAACAAAGGAGATGATTGTTGATTTTAGGAGAAACAGGGTTAGATTAAACGCTATTAAACCACCTCCACTTCTTCTCCATCATGGGAGAAGAAGTGGAGGTGGTGGGAGAATATAAATATCTCCAGCTGGACTGGAGACGTAGCAGTTAAGCCCTGGGCACCATTCCTGCCAGAACCACAACTATGTGCACATCTGAAGCCTACAAAGTTAGGCATAGTGACAGTAATTCAGCATGTCTTCTATCTTTTTGCTTAGATGTTTCACAAAATGTTGTGCTTACCTATTGCGAAATGTTCATTTTTTTCATTTGTTTGAGATTTAGGGGGAAAAAAACACTTGAGGCTCTTTTCCACTAAACAGCCTCTGTCCACTTCGGTCCCAGACAGATTCAGCCAGTGGGCTCTGCCTGGCTGGCTCAGATTTTCATACCTACTATAGGTGCAGTACTAGCCACACTGAGCCAGGTACGGTACTGAAACCATTTGATTGACAACTACCACATTTGTTGATTACCTCACAGCAAACTCCAAACAACATTGTAGTTTAGCTGTGGATGGCAGACATACTGTCTGCTATCAGAGATCTGCACAATTATGAATTTAATCAGGAGCAGTTGCAGGAACAGATGCAGTAAGTTCTGAAGCAGAATGACTGTGAATTAGCAACGCTGCCAGCGATGGACTGGTGACCTGTCCAAGGGCGACCCTGCCTCTCGCCCATTTACCACTGGAGATAGGCACCAGCCTCCCTCGTGACCTCACTATGGATAAGCGTGCAATGGATGGATGGACGAATGGATGATAGTAGCGATGCCAGCAGCTCATTTCTCTTAAGAATGGGCAGCTATAAAGAGAGAAACAGTGAAGCTGTGATCGGCCAACTTTCTGTTAGAGTTCTAGTTTCACACTCTGATAGTGTGAAACACCAGAGCTACATAATATTAACTTGTGCTAATATTATTAGTTTTACTTTTCCTTTGGATTAAAAAAATGAAGGTCATGGATTACATCTTTTGACTGCATTACCTAAATCCAAAAAGTTGCTCATTTAAAAAAAAAGAAAAAAAAAAGAAAAGAAAAAGAAGAGCCAGAATGTAATTATATTTATATGTATAGCGTAATAATCAGGAGATCTGAGTCTTATGTCTCAGTTATGTCTTATGTCTCTGTTTGGGTCAGCAATGAATTTATGTAAGACAATATTAAATATCTGGGTTTATATGAGTCCATCAGAACCAGAACCTTGAGATTCTCCATCGCTGGATCTTTTCAAATGATTGACTCGGAGTATACAAACCATCTTCCATCTCCCAAAGCCTCAACCTAGATTTCTTCAGTGTCAGTGTTAGGGAAAGAAATATTAGATTAAAATGATTTATTTTTCTTATCTGATTATGTCTGCTACTGAATTAAGCCATTACTGGCTCTTGCAAATTATTACTAATTATAGAAGCATATAAAAATTTTGAGGAGTTGTGGATATTCAGTTATTGTGTCACTATAATCTCAAGTTTTTCAATAATAGTAAAACTGTCTTGGTGCATGGTTTGATAATTTACGGTAAGCCTTTATAGTTGCCTTAGCTCAAGTTAAACAACATCCCTGGGACTTCTGATAAAGTTGCCTAGTAATTGAGGCAACTTTATCAGAAGCTTCATTTTGCTGGCTTTATAACTTTATTAACTAGAAATAAAGTTATAAAGAAATAAGCTTGATGTGTACCTTCTATACCTACTGAGAGCATTTTACATTTCTTTATACTTCCTAAAAGGCTTTATAATGGATGCCCTTTTGTTTAACGCCATTACTCTTAGAATTTAACAAGCAGGTTTGTTTATAGGTGAAATAAGTTCAACTACTAAGTTGGAAAAATACTTGATGCAAGGCTTTGAACAAATTGAAAATGTAATAATACAAGAAAAACATTGAGAGAAAAAACAATTTCCTTGCTGCAGCTGCACAAAGGTCCTCCTGCAGAGCTCCTTCCACAAAGAACATTATTCATCAGTCATTGAAGAACAGCTTTTTTTTTTGTTTCCAGCGCTGAAGCCACCCGCGCAGAGTTATGACTGTTCAGCCATGCTTTTCTTACAATTGTGTGCAACGACTTCATGACCTTCTTTAAAAATTTAAAAAGACACTATTGTAAAAACACGATCCTCACAGCGGCCTGCTGCTCTGCCGTCTGTAAAGGCTTGTACAGCAGCTGGGACCTTGTTCTTTGTGCTTTTATATCCTTGTGTTTATCTCTCTAAATGGATTTCAAACTAGGCTCATTTTAACCATCAACTCATTCAGTCCTTATCAAACTGCAACAGAGAAATGAAGGATCAATGTATCTGCATTTACAGGTATTATATATATANAAGTAAAGTACAGATACACGAAAACTGTACTTAAGTACAGTAACGAAGTACTTGTACTTCGTTACTTCCCACCACTGGCTATGGCTATCTGAGTGTTAATTTTAGGAAAAGAGAGCATGTGTTGTTGATGTTCAAGTCTGCAGGGAAAATCCCAGCTTAGCACTGTTCAACAAACAGTTCACGGCTTTTGCAACTTGCTACAAATGTTAAAAACAGGCTGTATAGTTACAGATTTCTGCCATTTGCTGCCAAGTATTAAGGTTTTAATCACTTGTGCGTCACTCTGGAGTTCCAAACCGAACAAATCAAGACAAATCCCCCGGAAGAGGACAAATGAAATGGAGGCAAATTAATAGGGCAGACATCAGGAAGGAAATGAAATCTTAATCTTGTTTGGTTGTGTTCCAAATAACTTATCACTGGCCATTATCATGTGTCTGAAATCCCAAAGAGGAAGCAATTTGAATGGATAATTCCTGCCAACTCATTTCCTGTGTTCCGATATTTCCTTTTTCTGACAGAACAGCATGGGCGCATTTCAACTTCTCTGTTCTGCTGGGATTCGGTTCACTCGACAACTGAAGAAATCTTCACGTTTGAAGGACACAGAGAGTTCTTGTCATTTTTAAGTTAGCAGCATGAATAGTTTTTTCTTCAAATACATGACAGTGTGTCAAACTATATCTGCTATTTCTTTGTCTCTCTTCAAATTCAATTCATTTATTTATATAGTTTCGATTTCATAGGCATTTTGCTAAAAGAAAAAGTTAATTCAATCAAATAATAGTCAAGTTCAGATTGGTTAAAGTTTTCTACCAGAGGAAACTCATCAGAGTGCATCAAGTCATCAACCTAAATCCCTAAATAGAAGATAAAATGTAGCAGAGCAGAAAAGCTTTGAGCCAGTTTTCAAATCCACAAAGAAATAAAATGAAAATAATTGTTGGTGTGTCCTGTGTTTAGAAAAATACTGATAGTTCCAGGCTTGGTGAAACAGCAGAGCAACAGTGTGGTCAGGCAATTGCCAGAGTGGTCATTCAGTCAAAATAGTGAAGAGAACCAGACATAAAAACATTACACTGCATTATCTTCACCTGGTAGTTTGAAATGGGTCTGTTGTGTGTTTGCATGAGAGAATACCCAGTACTGGATTGAAGCTGGAAACATTTTATTTCTGCTGATTTTTTATTTTTATTTTTTTAACTCATCTGCAATGGTATTTATTGTTCATTATATAAAACTGTCTGTTTTTAGCTGGTGTGTATTTTTTTTAATGTATAAATAGAATACTTTTGTCTTAAGGACTGGGTGAAAAAAAAGAAACAATCTGAATATACTTAGTATATTTGCCAAACAATGTCAGTATGTACACAGCTGATTCACAAATAACTCTCTATTATTTCTGTCATCATTCATTTTACTTAATTAGCACTGGCAGCTGAGCTGCATTTTACACATTAATTAGACGTAGTCAGTCTAATTTGAATGTTTTGAGAATCAGCAAAGCTTGTTTTTAATTTTATTTTGTTTATCGCTTAATTGGACTGTTGCGGGAAGAATTCTGGTTTAATTGATCCCTCAGTGTAAAAGCATTCAGCTTTCTGTGCAACACATCTGGTTTGCACACACAGCTGCTCAGACGAAAGAGTTGGATGATTTAATCTCGCTCTAGTTTCCCTTATGAAAGTCTGCAGGATGAAAAACGTTTCTTTTCTCTTCTTTTCTTTTTCCTTTTCTTACAGCTGATGCAAGACTAGTTTGTTCTTTTAAATCCTTTCAAAATTTTAAAACCATTAATGACTAGTTAAAAAAATAAATTTATGTTTTACCGTAAATTTATAGTAAAACCATAAAAAAATAAAAATAAAAAAATAAAAAAAAAGATGAGGGTGTTTGCAAGTCCTTTGTCAGCACTCAAAGTGTTTCCCTCTATGTGCTGCAGGGAAAAGTGAGGATGAACACCCGAGGTATTGAGTTTCCTGTATCCATCATTTTGGACGAGTTGGGAGCTTGGAATAGCCCCAGCAGCGTCTGTGTTAGCCAGCCGTAACTGACATTGAGTGCATTGTTTGCAGTGGGAAGCTCACGGCTGTGGCCTAAAGGTACATTCCTGAGATCAGAATTCTGTTTGAAATACAAACAGCCTTTGTGCCCCCGTTGCTCTCATCCCTTGACTCCCCCATCCACATCAAGCCTCGAGAGCTAAGCGGTCTCCTCTCGCTCATGTGTCAACATGTGGGCTATCAGTTTACTCACACCCACATATGAGCGCGCATGCACACACACACACACACCATGGTGTCATTTTGATGAGGAGGTCCAAGTAGATATCTGAGTTCTTGTGGAAGAAAAGCTGCAAAGCCCTAATTTTTAAACACAAACACTGTCTCCTCTTTAACTTGCCCTTTTTGTTGCCCAGAGAAAACATACAAGCAAAAGTATGGTATGTACAGAAGTGATCTAAAGTCACTTCTTTAACCAGGCACACATCTTCAAGCCTGGAAAATAAGTTTTTTTTTTTTTTTTTTTTTTTTTTTTTTGCTTTTAAAATCTATCTGCATGAGTTTAGGTTTCTGTCCATGTTGCTGACCTTTACTCGGAATTAGCTAATAGTTGAAAAGTTCAAACACAATTTATTATTTAGCAGAAATATTTGGAAAACTTGAATATAAATTTATTTTTTTTTGCCATCCCTTTACGTAAGGATCATTGGTCAGAGTGAAATACTCGAATAGAGGATTTGTGGAAATCTGTCAAGTTGTATACATAAGAGAAAAAAATAGCTCAAGAATGAACACGCTAACCAGAAAATTGTAATAAATGTTTTATTTTGTACCGTGTTTAAGAACAAGAAAACCAAGTGGAAGAATGTTTGATGGTTTTACTATTAGTTAGTTTTATTCTTAGGTTTTATGTGTTCTCATATATATGGTTTTCTAACAAAAGCAAACCAAAAAGTATTGGAAGACCAGTTATCCTCACCACCATGAAATTTTCTTTTTTACTCTGTTAATGACATCACTGTAATTAAATTGTAAAAGCCAAAGGAAAAAAAAAAGATTCTTTTTTTTCCCAAATATATTGGTAAAATCTTATCTTGTAACTTATCTGGAGAACCCAAAAGGATGTATATTGTCTTGTGTATTATCTGTTATAACAGATGTTTTTCTGTGGATAGAGCACTTTTAAATTTCTTTTCCAATCAGACGTGAACTGATTGTTTGCATCAAGACTTTCATCTCTTTATGTGCAAAGTTTACATCTATTTTAGATGTACTGTGTTCGGTGCAGAGAAAATGACATTAAACCAAGTAAAGCTTTTGGAATCAATGGGTTGATTCATTGGAAAAATGAATGACATGAAAAGGTTTAATGCTGCTACCAGTATCAATGTGCTGCTGTGTTGTGGCATCTTGACTGTGATTAAGATGAGGGAAATTTATTTTAAAGATAAAAAGTCCAATATTTCTTCTGGCAGTGCAAATGAAAAACAATGCAGTAATCTCAAGATATAAAAACGGGATGACTTCTGCATCGAGAAATTGCAGCTGAAACAATCATCTCTGAATCAGCTTACAGCTTAACATCTGACAGCCAATTCTCTGGTGCAATAACTAGCATAACGTAAATTGTAATGACAGATTATACGGGATGATGATTGGTGACTGCTCCATCATATCTCAATTAATTTCCCCTCAACTGCTCAACTGAGGAGGAGATAATGGGATTTTGATGATTAAATTAGTGAGAATGCTGCACAGTTCATCATCTGTGCAATTGTGAAATTCTGGGGTTGAATCTAACATTATAAAGCCTGCCATCTGAGTGATGGTCTGTGATCTTTAGAGGATATTATAGTGTGAAAATGTTTTCTCAAATTGTATGTAGAACTTTACTAAAAAGAAAACATAGTCCACATCTGGACTCCTCCTAACCTATACTGTACCCATTTATTGGCTATTTTAAATCTCACCAAGGTGAAGATGTCTCAACATAAATAAGCACTTCAATGCAGAATCTGAAAAAAACATAGTAATAAATTGGCTAAATCATTCACAGTTCTAGGGTTTCAGATAACCCTACAGGTTTGCTAAAACATTTAGACTACAATCATGGAAAAAAGTTTTTTTGTTTTTTTTTTTTACAATGGCAATTTACTAAAAAGATCCAGTGGTGAGGGATTTTGTATTTACTGTTAGAGTTCACCAGATTTTTCCCTAAAGTTCACAGGATGCCATTACTTCTAGATGATTTAGAACAGAAACAGACCCACAGCATTACATGTCGTCCACCATTAACACAAATTCACTCTTTATTTTATCCCTCGATTATGGGATAGCATGATTATCTCTTGTTACAAAGCAAGCGCTTATTAGAGTTTTAGTTGTTTAGCAAATTCCACATTTCTGTTGGTAAGATAGATAATGATTCAGCCTTGAGGTCACATCATATGTATCTTAGAAAACCAACAAATGATGCATCATTTATCAGAACGACAAGAAATCCTTAATCAAATATGCTGAAACCATGCAACAATGACCTTCCACTTAAAAACTACTGAGTTGATCTTTAACATAAAAAAACTAATTAAAATTTACTGAAATATGTAGTTATAGCAAAATGTGAAGAGAGTTTAATAATTGTTCACAGTATAATCAAGAAGGTATTCTTACATCATTACATTACATTACATTGTTTCATGTAATAAAATATTAAGATTGTTGTTTTTCTGATATAAAAAGGGTAACTGCTGCTTGCTATACCCGCTGATCGCCAAAGTGCAAATAAAACTGGAAGCCTGTTGAGTATTATGGGAAAACTGGGAAAATAAAGTACAGATAATAACTTAAAAAAATAAGCCTATGTTCTATTCCAACTAATCTCATCTTATGACTTAAGGGTTCTCAGTTTTATTGCAGTTAGTCCAGTGAGCAGATAAAAGCTTTCGCAATAATGTCTCCACATAATTAGGAGCAATGTTCCCACCACTCAATCTACACTCAGGCGTATTCATCCTCTCCTCATGGAGTGTTTTCTCAAGGCTCGACCTCCTCCCACCATAAACTCCCGCCCATTATTACGTACAAACCCTCAACAAGTTGCCAACCAATGAGGCGCACTTCACAAATGCATGGCGAGGGGGGCTGAGAAAGCCAAAGACAAATGCTCAAAGGGGTAGGGAGCGTAGGACCACTTTAAGACCCACAAGAGTTGTTGTTTCCCCCCTCGTACTGTTTGTTTCCAGTCCCCCCAACAAGTAGCGCTTAATGATCCAGCGCACTCGGGGCTTGTACGGCTTCTCTCTCCGGTTCCTGGAGATCCGCACAACGGAGACCCGCTGCAGTGGAGGCAGTTGTTCCTCTTCGATGTAATGAGAACTCTCCCACTTTTTTGGGGGAACTTTTTTCTCTCTCTCTCTCTCTCTCTCGGTGCGTCTGAGTTTCTGATTAAGTTGTTCATTTGTTAAATTTTTCACGCCCAATCATGTACGGATAGCGGACGGTTCGCGCAGGAATCCGGCTCAAGTGGATCAGCGCTGACGGGTTTCTGGAGACGGGATTACACGGCACCGTGGCTACCCACTGAACGCCCACACACGGGCCCGATAACGCACCATCTGGCCCGGAGTAAATAACACTTCTCCAGATTGCACACTATCAATGGATGGACTTATGACACTGCTTTGAGTCTGGCCGAGTCAAGCAGCCATAATAATGGCATACTCCAATCTTTCAATGCATGGTATCTGCAGAGCTGTTTGGCCTCTTGGCTGCGTGCTTCTGATGTTTGGCTACTTCTCCGTGGCTTCCCCGCACCACGGTCGGCAGCTGATCTGCTGGCAAGCCATCCTAAATTGTAAAAACGAGCCCGGTTGCAACTACGCATATGACCACTACGTCCAGGCCTGCGAGCCCGTGCTGAGCGGGGCTAAGAAGAGGTGTCCCAGCCACTGCATCTCCTCGTTAGTTCAGCTCAACTTGACCAAAAGCGGCCCGGCTCTGGAGGACTGCAGCTGCGGCGAAGACCTGAGATGCGCACGCACCAAGCGGGCCATCGAGCCGTGCCTCCCGAGGACTACCAGCACAGGCTGTACAGAAGCCCGGCTGCAGTGCGGGAGGGACGCGCAGTGCAGCTCCGCCATGCAAGACTACTTGCACCACTGCGGGAAACTTTTTAACGGCGCGATCTGCACGAACGCCTGCCGGAACGTGATCGCGAACATGCGTAAAATCCCCAAGGGTCAGAAGCTGGATACGTGCATGTGCGACGGGCCGGAGAGGACCATCTGTGAGTTCGTTAAGAGCAGCATGAAGATGCTGTGCTTCGACAATCCAGACCCAGACAGAGAATACGGCAGCGGACGATGGGTCGACGAGGAGGACGGTGATGACAACCCGGACGGTACAGTGGAACCGTGGAGCAGAGCCTCTCTCCCGACTGCGGGCCGCTGGGGTCTGACCCTGCTGGCTTCTATTTTGGGTCTGTCGCCCCTCCTTTAATCTAAGGGTTTTCTATTGTTCCGATAAAAAGGCAATCAAAACTTATCAAAACACTCATTGACCTGCTATAGTAAAAGCCTGACAAACTGAACAGAGTTCTCTTCGTCATCATAACGGGATAATCCTCAAAAAAAAAAAAAAAAAAAAAAAA